GTGTCGATAATCGTGACGTCGATTGTCGTTTTCAATAAGTACGATGGTTTTCTGTATTTTTTCTAAGTTAGTGTGGTCAATTATGTCTCGAGGTGTAATATTGCGCCAGATTATTTTTTAAACGATTAAATAAAGCATAGTAATATTTAAACATTATTAATGAATAAAGAACAGACATATTTCGGCCGTTTTAGAATTCCAATGCAATTCTTTTATTCACCTCATTTAGTAAAGGATAGCTGTGTATTTTCTTTAAAAGATTTCTTTTCAACTTGTCAAGTGATAACAATCCTCCCCCTCTTAAGCCAGGCGAAATTAATATGCCCTTCCTTAACGTTGTTTTGACAACCACTAACGTGATTCTTTCAGTCCCACAAGAAAAAATAAAGATAACTCCATCAGCATGCCGCGCCCTAACGCTTGATTGATAACTTCCCCGCCCTCAACTTGAATGATCTCTTTACACATATTTTCTCTATACAAATAAGGAGGGAATGGATTTTTCTCCCCCACCTACCCACCTTAATGAATGACGGGGAATCCCGTTTCTTCCTTGAATCGTTCTAGTTCAAAATGGCGGATAGAGCAAATTAATATTTTCATTACTACTGTCAATTTTTTTTCGTTTTCTAAATTTTAAGCACTAATTATTTTTTTTCTAATATTTTGTTTTCGATTGATTAAATATCACATTCAAATACTAAAACATTATTGCCCAAAAAATAACGTTTATTTATTTTTTGCTTCTTAGATTCAGATCGTTTATTAGATCATTTTAAGCTTTGTTTATCTTAGGGGTGTATTATACGGAAAAATCTATTATCCGGACTTCGGAAAGTCCCACCGATTCCGGATACGCGACGTTCCACTGTATATATATATATATTTACTTTAGTATTTGTAAAAATTCTCTTATAGTTTTGCAAGTTGAAAATAGTGCTAAAATACAATTTGACTTAAACAACACAAAAATGTAATCCTGTTGAAACTCATTATCATGAATTGTCTTGGAATCCGTAATAGACTACACTTTGTTGAAAAACTGTAATGCATATAACATATTTTAGGCGATAAGAAAGCGATTATATTATATGAAACAAAATTATTTCATTTGTATTATGTGTACTTATATATAATTTTTTTTTTAAATTAAAAATTTGATTGATAGTGAAACACCGAAAATAACTTAAAATTTTATCAAAAAACTGAATGAACAAAATAATTAATATCAAAATAAATATTGTCAAATTTATGTATATTTAAAGGACTGAGAAAAATCATTCGAATATAAAAGAAGTAACCAAGTAAAACTAGTTCCAAAATGACTAATCCATTATATCAATATAAGTTCTAAAATGACCCACGAGTCCACTGCACTCATGAATCCAAAAGTATCTCCTACTTCCAACTAGATCCATCCTTGCTTCTCAAAACTTCATACTTGTAACTGCTTTGAAGAGAACTTATTTCTGGAATCTTTTGCATTTAAAAATAATAAAGTTTTTGGTGCTGTGATCTAGATGTTAAATTTTTTTTTAAAGTTTTTGGAGTTTTACTAAATGTATTTTAAAATTTAATTGATAATAAATTTACTTGTTAATTTCATGTTTTATTGATGTGAAATACTAAATACTTTAAAGTACTTAGTACAAAATATCATATACATTGATACAAACCCAATTCTATTGTTTTTTTCTAAAAAAGGAATTTTAAGACTTTTTTTTAAAACCTGATTTGTTAATCATATTTGTGTTTCAATTCATTTAAGTTATGTTGCATTCAGTAACAAACTGTTTAGTACACATTTCTTCCCAATATTTTGTTTCTAATTAATTAATTTTATTCATTTTAAAATTAGATGCAAGAAAAAGAGGTTATACCTCAACATATCATTCAACATCTCAACATATCATCAACATGGGAGGCGGGAATGCATATCATTTGTTACAAAATTTTTTATCCCAATTCATAAAATTGCTTTGTTGAATATTTTTTTTCAAGTTTCTTAAACTTTTTTAATCGTAATTCACAAAATATTGGGAAGAAATGTGAACTAAACAGTTTGTTACTGAATATTATATTATTGATAACAGCCATGGTTTTTCATATACAAAAGCAAGTTTATTTCTTAAACCCTACATCTTAATTGAAATTTCACAATAATTGTGTCCAGGTTAAGATATAAATTTTTTATTTTTTGTAATTTAATACTCATTGAAAAAAGTGACTATAATTCTATGGATTCTTAAATTGTTATTATATTCTTTCAGATTAGAAAGACTTGTGAATGTTCTACAGAAGAAATTAAATGGGCAAAATGTTGGCATTCCTGTATGATTGACTTATTCTAGTCATTCATGCATACAGTAGTTCTAGTCCTTTGAGAGATTTTATTTCATTGTATTGATTTTGTGCAGTCAAAGTATGTCACTTTTCTAATAAATATATTTTCTTTATATCTCATTTTGTCAGTGTTATATTTCTTTATAAACTTAAAGACTAATTGATTGGAAATTTTTATAGATAATAATTATAGTGAGACTTGTTTAGTTCGAAATCATTAACTTAAAGCATAATGTACATCCATAATATATTCTATGTAAACAGTACTAACTTGCACGATTCAAAATGTCAGCAAAAGAAAAATCTAAATATGTTTGAATTTTAAAAGGATTAGAAATCATCACATTTTTGCATAAATTTATTTATTCTACTTCAAAGCTTTATGGAAAACCCAAGACAATTTATCCAGAATGTTAAATAATACGATAATTATATTGGTATGTGATATCGAGCAATATGTAATGAAGAAACAATAGACCATAAAATGTTTTTTTCAATATATAGTGAAAGGCAAGCAACTACAAATTAAGCTGTTTTTCTTCAATAAACTTACTTAAAGAGATGACTTTTTTTTAAATGTTTAAACTCAAAAAAAAAACAAAACACATTTTTAATTTCTTGTAAAATAATTACAGTAATATTTTATTTTGCTTACACAATTACACATATTGAACTAAATTTTTGATTCCATTGGATTCGCTCAATAAATATTTTTCCTACAGGCTTTGTAATACTTTTTTCACAACAAGAACTCCAAAAGCCAAAAATGTTAGCTTTTATAATTTTGGAATAAATTGTTTTCTTCTCTCCTTTCTTAAGCTTTAAACTATTTATAATCCGCAGAGTTTCATTTAAATACAAATGTTTGTTCTTAGTTTTTAAATAATTTATCCTGAAACTGCTCCTTTTGAAGGTATTTAACTTTGACCAAATATTAATTTTTACACTTTATTTTTTTATAAACACTTAATTTTTTTCAATCTATGGAAAAAATCATTAACTATCTGAACCATCATTTTTCCATGGCTGAATGGTGCTTTGTTTCTATTTTTTGGCCTTTGTTAAATCAGATTATTTAATTTTGTAAAAACAGAATCCTTATACAAAGCTTCTACATAAATTAACTTGGAGATAAAGAAACTCTTTATTACATATAGGATTTCTCAATTTCGGTATTGATTAAAACTGGTTGTAACTATGTATCTTATTATTTTTAAGAGTTTAAATTAATGAAGTCTGATTTAATAAATTATACAGATTTTAAAATTCTTTTTAAAACTAAACTAAATATAGTGAAATAATTTATAAATTATGAATTGTAAACTAAACTTTTTCTCTCTTGTACATTAAGTTTTATTTGTTATAACTCCCTTATAACTTTTGAAATCTAGTTATTTTTGATTTACATTCTAAAGCTATATTAACTGGAACTTCTACTGGTTCTGCAAGTGTGATTTTGTTTTTTTGCTTGCATAATAAACCAGTTTCCTTCGTTGTTTAAAAAGACTACTGATAGTCTAGGGGTTTTTCATAGTAAACTTCACTGTAACTATTTTTCATCAGTTGTCATATTAGAGTTCATATATATGTTGCCAGACATACCAGAGGCGTGTATAACTTCAATTCTGGCATGTATAGCTTCAAATCGGGTTACCCTTACGTGCCTGGCCCTGCAGGTAAATATTAAATCATACCCTTATGCCAATTAAGCTGATTTAATTTTTAATTAAAAAAGTATTTAATCCTGTATCTGTGTGTAAAAAATAATAAGTTGAAATTGAATGTGAAAGCGATAACTAATATTTTCTTAACTCTAATGTTAACATCAGCTTCAAAGTTCAAGGGAAATTTGAGTATGTCGGAGCAGGTGATTTTTTTTATAAATATAGTTTATTATTCGTTAAATTGTTTTATCATTTTGGTACTATTGATTATAAGTTTCTTTAAATGAATAGTTATATTGATATCCAGACATATGTTCAAGCGAGTATTTTGCAGACTTACATTCCTGGTAGAGCATGTAAAAGTTTTGAAATTTTTCGAGCCCTTATCTTAGGGGTCGGCGACCTATTGAAACAGAAGAGCCAAAAGTTGCAATTTACAAAATTTCCCAGTTTTTAAAGAGCCACTAAAAATTTTCGATTTAATATTGTAGTATTTGCTTATATATATTTGATTTCAAATAAACGGCTTTTAATACGGAATAATATTTATTCATGTAAAAACCCAAATATAGATAGTTACATTAATGGGAGCATTGACTTTGCATGCCTTTTGAAAGTTTAATTAAATCTGGTTTATAACTTGCTTTAAGTTTCAAGCCAGACTCTAGATTTTTATTTCTAAGTTGACGTCTAATTTTACTTTTTATTATATTATGTTGACCAGCACTCCATATGCCAACTTCTGACTTTTGATAATAAATAATTAGTTTTTTTGTATGGAATTTGAGAGCCGCAACTTTACATTATAAGAGCCGCATGCGGCTCTCGAGCCACAGGTTGCCGACCCCTGCCTTATCTATATTGAGTAACATGGTAAATGGGATGGACACAGGTTTAAGGCAAGGCAACTCAAAATTGTACTAATTTATTCATTTCACAATGGTTGGAAAAGTCTGTGCAATATCCTTCACTCTTAATAATAGAGATTATTTAGGGAAGTGTTGCAAATTAATCTATTTCTTAAGGAACATGATATAAAAACGCTCATTAGGGGTTTCTATATATATATATATATTAGTATAATAAGTAATAAAAAATCTTTATTTTATAAATCTTCTTATATTATTTATTTGTTTAAATTCTCTCAACTCATTATTCAGAACAAAACCTGTTCACGTAATTAATAATTCACATCCTCTTGTAAAAATAGTTTAAGGAATGCTATGATTATCACTTTAAGTTTTTCCCTTAAGTAAGCATGTAAACGAGAGAAATCCCTAGACTTATTTTATGAACAAATTACAATTAATGTTTTCGTTTTTTTCATATGATTTGGGAAACAATGGCAAATATTTGCAAAGCCTTTCCTTATTGTTTAATAGTGGATTACAGTGATTTTAGTGCAGTTTGGATGCTCATTCTATGGTTTAAATTGATAAAATAAAAGATATTAAATATCTATGTTTTAGATTATCTTTTAATGAAATTAACCCAAATTTTACTCTTAGAGTATCATTCAAATTTCTAAATTCAATTCCAACTTAGAATAAAATGATAATGAAATTTTCATAACATAAATTTGTACTAATCACAATTTTAAATATTTAATAAAAGCAATAAAATTTGAACTGGCTTTACAAAACCTTACAAACTAGGGTTCATAGTTGTTTTGATGTACCCGATAAAAAAAATCCTTATTTTTCCTGATTTTTAGCGTTTTGTCCTGATGTTGGTGTGATTTTTTTTTTGCTTGTTCAATAAGACTTTTTCTAAATTCGATTTTTCAGGAACTATTTAACCGATTTTGCTGAAATTTTGTATTTTGCCATATAAAATTGAAATCTTTAAAATGATTTTAAAAAGTGTATACCTTACTATTCAAAATTTTTTTGACTGTTATTAAATAAAATTATAAAAAATATTAAATATTTACTAAAAGATATATTTTACAAGGAATAATCTTTGGATAAACGAGTTAAATAATTGTGTGAGTTCTCGAGATATTGCGAAATATGCAAAAAGTATAATTAACATTAAGAGGTCCAAAATTTGAAACTATCTCCTGACCAACTATTGGGACCATATATTTTGGGCGATGGAAATCTGAATTTGTTGAAATAGAGGTATGTTTATTCAGAGAAAGTACGTTTTTGCGTCAAATTTTTTTAAACTTAAAATATCGTTTGCAGTGTAATTAGCATATTTGAGATCACCCCCTTGAACCTTTAAGATAGAGCCTTAAAACATGAAGATCCAATCATCAGATAAAAAGTTATTTATTGTGGTCTCGTTTTTTTTTTTTTTTTTTTTTGCACTGTGTGCAGCGGGTGTCTCACGCATGGGTGGCTGAAGAAGAGCACATAAAACCTTTCTTCTACATCACAATTTGTTTTCATTCATAATAAAAAAAGCTAACCATATACTTGAACTCTTAAATATATCTAATATAAAAGTTAAATACTGCTGTGAGTATTCTGTTGTCACTGCTTTTTCAGTTCCTGCAAGTTTGTCTATTGACTGTATTATTTTGTGCCTGTGAAAAAGCATAGGATCTTATTTAAGGAACTCAACATTGTTTATTATTTTTTTAAGGCGTTTTCTTACATTATTGTAATAGAGACTATCATATATATAGATATATTTTCTTGTTTTAAGAGAGGCTAGGGTGCCTCTCACCTGTCTAAGTGTTGAAATTTTTTTTCCTCAATGCCTTCAATTTTGCATAATTTTTTCTTCATGCATAAAAATCCTTAGTTTTCACCAAAACTTTTCATTATCTAAAAATATGAAGTAATAAATTCATACTGCACTCTATTGCAGTCAATCCTTTTAACAATTTTTCTTCTTCTTTTAAGTTGTGAATATAGTAATTAAATTAGGGGTTATTCACTAGTTTTTGCTTGAATAATTTTGGTAATACACTTCAAAACTTGTTTTGGAATGCTCGTATCTTTTAATTTGATTTAATGATAACTCAATAATTTCTAAAAATCACAAACGTAAGATAGTTTAAATTTAGAGACCGTTCATTAATTACTTCTCATTCAAACTTATAATCTTGTTTCAGTCTTTGATCATCCTATGGAAAATAAACGCAATATTTATGCTGTTTATATTTTTTTCTTAATATGTTTAATTGCTAATTAGAAAATGTTAAAGATAAACTGATAAAAAATTTTAGTAGTAATTTTTTATGTGTTGTTCATCAAAGTTCAGTGAAAACATTGTTTTTCATTTCTCATTACATTTATTGCAAAATCGAAAGTACTTTTAAAATAATTGTTTAATTTCTTAGCTTTTTTCCCTGTTTTATGATCTTTGTATCTAGATATATCTTTATTTATAGAGGGGTTAACTGTTATAGTTTATCTGTAATTATTACGTTTTTTTGTCAAGATTACGGTCTAAGAGTTAAGTATTAAAAATTATGGTTTTTGTGAATTTTAGTAAT